TTCCCCTCGCTCTGCTTAGGTCGGGCATGCCCTCCCACAGGCGGGTTTTCTGGGAGAAGATGCAAAGCAATCGCGAAATCCGCCGGCCCCCCTGCGGGGCCACCAGGCTGCGAGGATGAGGATTGCAGCTCCCTGTTCCAGCTGCAGCTTCCCATCTCCACTCTTACAGTCCTGCCGTCTGCTTCGTTACTGTAAATTGTTGCCGAACGCGCGAGGGGAGAGGAGCCCCAAAGCAGTTTTTTTTAACATGCCCAGATCGCGTTGTGTGAATTCTTGGGGGGGGCGCGGGACGCGCACAAAAATATGTGATACTCGCGTCCCCGAGGCCATAGTCGCAAGTAAATTACACCTGCTCGCGTCGCCGAGGCCATGAATCATCATAGAGTATACAATGCTCGCATCCCCGAAGCTATAATCCTTCATAGATTATATAATACTCGCGTCCCCGGAACCATATACCCTTGCAAGTTGTAATAGTCGCGCCCCCGCGGCCAGAAACACTTGTAAATTACATAATAGTCGCGCCCCCGAAGCCGTAAATATGTTGCAAGTTACGTTGCGTTCGCGTTCCCGAAGCCAAAAACCCTTGCACATTAACGACACAATGTTCGCGCCCCCGAGACCACAATCCATCGTACACTACGCGATAAGAGCGTCGCCGAAGCCACAAGCCCTGGAAAATGACGCAATACTCGCGTCCCCGAAATCATATAAAACTTCGTAAATTACACAATAGTCGCGCCCCCGAAACCGTAAAGCTTCGGGAATTACGTGCACGCTGAACGCCTATTTCGAACTTCTCTGCCAGAAGAGCTGGCGGAGCATCATCCACCTGGATGGTGATTCCGTCGCGGTCTCTCAAATCCAAAATTAGTAACGCCCCCAAACCAGCCCCCAAGTTCCCAGGCGCCGCGCGCCGTGGAGGTCCTCGGGAAGAACTCCAGGGCCCCTGCTCCAGAGGTCCGGCCGACTCCCAAGGCGTCAAAAGCTCAGCGCGGCTGACTAGCGCCCTCTCAGGCACGGCCGCGGCAAACCAAATCATTCGGCACCCCTGCAAGGCAGGCGCGACAGCTAAACGAAAACTGGAGCTCCCCTCTACAACGCGTTTCGCTGATAAGGAAACACCACCATGATGGGGGAGCGGCGCTACTGCGTAGCCTCTGGTGGACTACCCACTCATCATGACTTAAACCATTCACCCCAACTCCAAAGCCACTCGCGGGAGAAACTCCAGACCTACAGATATTAAGAAGCCTCCTTGCTGTAGCCTCGGAAGCCCTCCTTGAACCCCTTAACCTTGCGGATACTACGACTAGAGCTAAGGAGCCGACGCCTCTGCTCAGTTCCGGGCCCTCTCGCAGCTCTCTGGACACAAACGTTCTCATCCACTCCGAGACATGCGGCGCGAGTCTCGAATGCGCTGCGTGGAACCCGCAGCTCATCACACATTGCATGTCCCAGTTCAGCAGAGGGTGCAATCAGCGTCGCCTTTTCGGAGTTGAGCACCGCATTGATATGGCCCGACGTTGCCATGAACTCACTCACGGACTCAACGGCCATGCCCTCCGCAATGAACATATCCCTTGAATGTCTTCCAATCGCACTGTCATCGATATTGTTGCGAAAATCCACTGCTGGGCAACGCGTAACTAATACGCCCAGCTCGAACGCCGCATGCACATTGATTGCGACGTCCGCGTTACTGTCACCAGCTGGCAGCCCGCTGGTCGCATGCAAAGCTTCAACTGCACGACGACGGCCGCCGTGAATGACTAGCGGCCCGCACCGCGTATTCATCGCGATCTTCAGCCAGCATGCGGGAATCCAGAGTCTCAGGCATTTGTACCTGAGCTCGCGCAGCGGTATGGACTCGCAGTATTTCGACCAATAAATCACCCACTACCATGAGTCATGAGCGCAGCCCTTCAGCGCGATCAGCTTCACTTCTGACGGTTCAGAGCGCGCAGCCCGCCACCGACCCCCCCTTGCCAGCTCGCCGGAATGTGCGCTCCAGAGACTCCGTAAGTCCACTCGCCATCCATCGTCGAGCCCGCAGCCAGATCCTGCACCTGCCCGGATATAGTCATATCAGCCTGTTGCCTCCAGCTGGCCAGGGTAACATTGGCATTTGAATCCAACGCAACTGCGTCGGCAACAATCCCATCGCTCCTGACGCCTCCCATGCCGTCGACACGATCTCCAACCCGTCGCCCTCGAGCAACAGAGGATGCCGCGGATGAAAGTGATCGCGCGACGATGCCGTACCCATGGGAAACGTCTCGACTACCTGTCTGATCTCGTCGGGCGACATCCTGTGGCATGAACTTCTGTCAGGCACCCATGCCTTCGGTGCTCTGTCTGAGGTTTTCCAGATTCTGCGATAGTCCCCGTCCTCCTCCTACACCACCGTCGCAAGGCCAACTGCCACATGCTTGCCATGGTTGACGACAAAAGGCGTTGGGATCGCTCTCGCGTTCGCAATTCTGCGCCAAGCTCTGGCACCCCGAGCAGATGCCTCCAGGCACCA